AAACAATATATATAGCTGGGAGATGTGACTGTTGAAGAACAAACGTGACACAAAATTTGACACAGAGACGCTATAAAATCAGTCAACAATGAATAATGAAACCATTAGGTGATAATTAAGTCATTTTTTACTGGATATTAATTTCTATAACCTTGGGAAGTGTCCTTCAATTACCTTCTTCCCCCATGGGAATTAATGACATAACCCGGCCCAGATCTCTCTCAATTGTAACAGAGGTGAAGGACAAGATTAGAGAATAATAAATCTCTGTTAGTGGTTTAGAAATAGCAAGAATGAAGGCTTACATTCTAAGCTATCGTAAATTAGGAATCCAAGGTAATTTCAAAGTGGTTTTCAGGTGTAAAACATCTCTCGCATGGCAATTTAATGCACCATGCCCAGAAAAACATATACAACATGTTCAAAGTTTGTTTACTAAATTATACTTATAAATTTTTTTTCTTTTTTTTTCTAAAAATTATGATCAAGATGAGCTGGCAACATAATATTTTGTCCAAAATTAACAAACAAATTCTGGCAAAATACATGCACCAAACATTGAGACGGGAAACATAGCATACAAAGAGTTGTACAGATGAATCTATTAAAGACAGTTTTGAAATAATTCAGCTAGGTTGATTTGAAAGCATACTGAACGGACATTGAATGTTTTTTTCAGGTTACAATTTCTCAGGTTTTATCCACATAATTAATTGCCTCACAAAAATTAGGTTGAAAAACATGAGTATACATTAGTGTATAATATTTGGTGCATAGATTGAAATTACATACTGTAAAATACTTTATTTTAGCTGGACTTAATATTCGCTGAAAAAACTTTGTGGGTATTTTGTATGGAATTTATTTTCACTGATTTTTGACGAGTTGAATGTAAAACAGGAAAAAAGGTATATTCGCTGGATTTTATTTTCACCGAGTCATTCCTTCAGCGAAAATAGCGAAAATTAATTCCAAGTGAAAATAAAGTATTCTAATGCAGTGAAAGTGTTTTTTATTGTTTTTGCATGCAAAATGTAATTGTACAGTTACATACTGAATTGCAGCATTCAATAAACAATTCCAGTTAAAGTAATTGATATTATTCATCAATATATTTAATATAAAGATAGAATACCAAGAATACTGGCTATTTAAAGAAGGATCACAAGGGTACGAATGTTGAGATCATTAGGTTACGAAAAACGGAGAAACAGGATAATTCAAACAAGACAATTCAAACACATTTTTCACAGTATGTTTACTTTTCCCATTACCTCTCTATTGTTACCTAACAGAGTAAAATAGATTTGGATGGAGGTTACCAATGATATGCATTGCCTGTATGCTACGGTGCACAACCCTGGATTGGTCATACACGACACGCAGTAGCGTAACTTATTCAAAGTTAGCTTTAGCAATCACCATCACTGCATGGTGTGTATAGTTACAATACAAGTGCAATGCAGAATTCATGGTATTAGATGTGACAGGCTTGGCCTGAGAATCTTTCATGCATTTAGTTTGTTTGTTATTAGTTTACTCTTCCATGTCCAGGACTATTTACTCATTATAAAATTCAATAAACTGTCTGCAAACGGCTTTACTAGTTTTATCCAATGAATTGCAAAGAATTGATTAATTTTAGATCATGTGTTAAAAACAATCCTGTACACTTTAAAAGTAATAAATGGTTTAACTCAATCCCCCCCCCCCTCCATTAAAATCAATGGCTATACCATGAATATGTGTAATACATTTCCACTCCACCTGTTTAACTGAAAATGTTTACCCTTAAAAGATTCTTTAGATAGAAATATCAAATGATTTAATTCAATACCCTCCATTTAAGTGAATTACTGGACTCTGAGTATATGTCATGCATTTCTACCCCACCCCTGTAAACTGACAAGCTGTTCCCTTAATTCTCTACTTTATAAGCCGTCAGATGACACTAAGATATTTATTATCCTACTGGATTACAAGTTTAAAAATAAACCCCAGGATTATTGTCAGATCTGGGTAGGAGATGCCCTTTACTGCATGTGCTGATATCAGACTATAAAATGCGTTTTGCAGCTCTTTACAACTTTGAGAAACAACCGGATATTTGATTGTAAATGATGACAGATTTGTCACCAGAAATCATACATTAAATAGAGATAAATGACGTTGATGTGGATAATTTACATTTTTCATTCATAAGGAAGGAAGACTTATCACATACCAAGTATTTTAGTTCAAAACCTAGAAATGTACCAATACCAAAACGTCATTTTCTTTCATTGTGCCACAGTCCCTCTATGACTGATTGTCCATATAAAGGTCTGTGCAATCTGATTAAAATTCATACATGCAGGTTCCAATTTTTTTTTTTTTTCAATTTTTTCAATTCTCATATTTTTTATTGTTAATATGTTTTTAGCAAATGAAGCGTAATTTAAGTGTGCTTCATGAATGAAGTAAGATTTGTAAAAAAAGACATTCACATTCATTTTTGTTCCTTGAAGGTCAATCACATTGTAAATACGTTGTGGTAATGATAAGACTACTCACAAAAGTATTCCGTATTTCAGCCCATTTTTTGTCAATTGAAACAGGCCGTCACAGGGAAAGAAATAAAATTGACAGGGTATGTAATAAGTGTGACAATAATGATGTGGGTGATGAAAAACATTATATTTTTCATCGTAAACATATCGGGGAATATATTCCTCTATGCACTATTTATATATTCACCTGATTAATAAATCTTGCCAACTGAAGAGTTGTTTATCAAGATTTTCTCAAGTGTAGACAAATATGTTTATAGTATTTTACCGGGGTAGCTAATTTTCTATTTCAGATTCTAAAATTATTTTAGATTAGTTGTGTTACCTTATGTTTCTTATATTGGACTTTACTCAAGTATTATTTTAGTGTACGTTCCAAATAAAATATCCTATCCTATCCCAAAAGGAGAAATGAGTGAGAAAGTGAGGACAGCTAGAACATCTACTTTTAATATACCATAGGAGAGATGTTTCCAAGTTTGCAAAGCAGGAATGCAACTTTTTAACACTTGTGATGGAACCTGGTCGTCACATGGTAAATGTCTAAAAGAGTTGGTGAATTGTTTTAATGGACGCCAGCGCAGCTACCATAAGTGGACTGCCTTAGGTTATTAAACCTCTTCTATAACAGGTGGACTGGTTGCTGCTGAAAGCCAATAGCACTCAAGGGTATGATTAATTAAGCAAAAAAATTAATTACAAACTTAAGTCATTTTCAATTTAAGTCGCTGACATGAAAAACAGTACACACAATGAATAAACTGAAAAGTCTGTTTTGTACGCAGATTACACTCAGGTTCATTGAGTGTCTAATAACAAAACTGTATACCCATGGCAATACGCATGGAATGATTCGTACCATTACATTTCAACTCCATGTAATATCCCTGAGAAACTATTCCCTACACAAATGTTCCATTCACTCTGACAGTGTTTCTCTATATATAGCTACTGATAGCTATTTGCATACTCAAATGCAATATCTATAGCTGCAATAATTTTGATTTTGAAGTTAATTTACAATCTCATTCTGATTATTAATCTGATTTTTTTTAATGCATTGCCTACTCAATTTTTTTTATATTCATAGAGGCATTCGGCAGGTTGTAAGCCATATTTGTTTGTTTGCTGTTTAGTTTAGTATTGCCTATGTCTCATTAACCATTTTGACATTTTAGGCATAACAGCACAAGACAAAAGTAAAGATATGGTACTAATGTACATACTGTACGTCTTACACCAACACTTTTTTTTAATTAAAAACAAATCCATTATTAGTATAATTAAATCAGTTTACTCATTTAGATGAGTTTTTTTTGTTTACATTACAAATTTAATTACACTATAATGAGATTATACTGCTTCTTTGCATTGTTATGGAAGGCCAGTTATGATTGGTTTAATCACAGTGATCTGACATACTGCATGAGTAACTGAACTATGGTTATACATAATGTGCACTCAGTGTGAGATGTCTATTACAGTCATTACAACACACAGCATGGTATCACAGCAGACTGCATGTACTAGGAGTACAGTGCAAGTAATACAACATCCATATTTTTTTTGTGCCAGATGACAGTTGAATGTCACTGTTGTCTCTCCTGACTTTTTTTTAGTAAGTGCAAATTGCAAGTGCTAGTGCTGACACATAGTGCATTTTTGCCACAGATTATTCATATTCATGTTTGGGACTACATGACAGGGCTGTGCGGCCATCTTCCTATCAAATGGCAGTTTAATGTGCTATCCTGGCGTCAACCAGGCTCGGTCAAACACAAGCACCTGCGGACCTTAACCAAGGTTCCCCCAAAGTCACATTCGTTATTGAATGAATTTCGACCAGTGGAATTGGTCTAAGCAAATTCATTTAATTTTCTCAAAAATTATGAGTAGACTTCTACATTAATTCAGATATAAACAGATTTCACAAACACTATATTGTTGGATTATTAGGAGATGAGAATGATTATGGGAAAGATTAGATCAGGAATGGATTGAAGGGACAGTAGCAGGATAAATGAGTATATTCACTTTGTTCTGTTTTAATATTATCACAAGCACTGTATAATTATTTTATAGAATTATAGCAAGGAATAGGTGATGTTTGGATTTAGTTTGTCAGTAAAGCCAGTAGAAATCATTGTTTCTTGTTAAATGAGATACACAACACATACATAACATTGTTACAATATTCATTACGAATGATTCCCAAAGGTCACACATCCTGGAAATTTTGGGGGGATACTGTGTTGTCAGCAAAAATTCCAATATTATATCTCAATTTTCCATGTTAAATTTACAACTTCAATACCAACTGCTTTTTTAGTATTTTGGGGAAAAATTTACATTCAGAGTAGATTTGTTCCCCACCCACCCAAAACAAATTACTAGGATGTGCACGACTTTAGGGGTCATGCATTGAATTCAACCTAAATTGTGGCTTCATACCTGCAATTGCTTGTAAGAGTCCTGATATCGTGAATATACTCTTCTTGCAAAGACTCCTTATGCAGCAACTAAAGACAGACGTCATGACAACCATGCAAAGTAGAAGAAGTCCAATTGCAAGAAACACAGTACTCGCTTTCCAATAGTTACTTGGAAGTTCAGAGAAACCATTCACATACGTTGCACAATTGTCTACAAATTCTTCAAATTTATGTAACTTGGTACACCTGTTGTATATTCCAATCGATGGAGTGTAGTAATCATCGTTGAGGTCACTATATTGTCGCGTACTCAAATCGTCATCAGTACTTAGTCCTATCTTCTGTGGTTTTCCTATCAGCCACTGTGGTGTGATGACCGCCGCTGACATCGCTAAGGCGGCAGCAAGGCTAAGTAAAGTCCACAGTAGAGACCGGCAGGTCATAATAACGTAACACATCGTGCAATTGTTTGTCTGTTTTCACCAAAGAAAAACAAATTCTTTCAGTCTTGATTTCAATTAGACAAATCTTGTTCATCTAGGTTGGGAAATCCATACACACAGATTAGTCACAAGCAAAAAATGTTGTTGTACCACTCAAGTTAATAAAACTGCCTTTTGCTCCACAGACAATAAGCTATCGACCCACAAGGCTACGTCAAGGATACGTATTCAGTTGTACACTTATCAAATCTACTTTCACGTTGTGACTGACTGCTGGTTTTGTTGATGACATCTGTCAGTGACTGGGCATTCCCTGGTTATACTAGTTGAATTGTGTCCAAAGACGATGACATCAGTCAGTGACTGGGCATTCCCTGGTTATGCTTCAGTGTTCAGGACACATCCTGTGAGTGAAAATAAAGAACAGTTAGAGCTCTGATCTGATTATCAAGATCAAAGACATCCCACTATAACAGCTCTTCTTAGTACACTAATGTACAATGTAGGTCA